CTCTGACTCCCGCAATCTCCTTCCAAGTTCCTGGGGAGTCCCAGGGATCCCAGGAACCTAAACTTGACCTGATTTCTCAGTACACCACGGTGTTCCCTCTCTTAAAAGGGCTGCTGTCCCACCCTCCCGCCTCTACCCTTAAAGCAGCAAAGCCAGTACCCACTCTCCTCAAGAAACACACAGCCACCAGACATTGCAAAATGTATATTAAATTTCATATGCAGTGGGACAGCCATCCTCAGAGGTTTAGAGTGATAATGGCAAGGAGCCACCCCAGTCTAATTTCAGCCACTCATCTAAAACAGCAGTGGCTAGCTGCTGCCTCTGGATTGAGATTTTCTCCTCTTTGCTGGAGGCGGCTGGCTGGAACCAAGTGCGGACATGGTGGGAGTCTTAAGTCCCTTGCGCCTGCCATTCTGCTTCTGGAAGACAGCTTTCTTAGAAGGCTGCTCTGGCAACTGCTGCTTTACTTTCTCAGACCCTTGGGAAGATCCAAGGGGCTGAACACAGTTCTCAGGCTTCTGAGTGGCCTGGGTCTTGGACAGGGATAGCACAGGGGATGTCTCTGTGTCCATGCCCTTAGGAGGAGCATTCTTCTTCTGGAAGGCAACTCTCTTGGAAGACTGCAGTTTAGGTGACTGTTGCTTTAGTTTCCTGGTCATTTTTGGTTCTCTTATCACTGTGGCCTTTTCAGCTGGCTGACTGCTATCCTGGAGCATGGAGAAAGCTTGGGCCTTTGTGACAGAAGGTACGGTAGACAATTCAGAGTCTGCTCCCTTGGAGATGCCATTCTGTTTCTTGAAGAAGGCCTTCCTGGGATGTTGCTGTTTCTGCAACTGTTGCTTTATTTTCACAGCCATTTTCACCTTCTTGGCAGGCTGGATGCTGTTCTCAGGCTTGGGGGTCACCTGACCTTTTGGGTCAGGCAAGTCTAGGCCTGCAGGGGTGGACGTTGCAGAATTTCCTGGGGATAAAATTAAACAGATGTTTTGAGAAACTAGGACTCATTACTGGGTCTTGATCATTAGTGGAAGAGACAAGTAGAAGCATTAAAATAAGGAAACTGCCTGGGTACTCTCTCGGCCAAATGTTGTACACAATTAGGACAGAGCCTTAGAGCACATAACCTAGATTCATATTACTTAATATCACCTGGCCTTCACTCAAGTCATATTTGAACCTTGCATTAAAGAGAAGGGATCACTACCCATCCTTGATCAAAAGGTTTTTAGAGGAAGCTGCACCCGCTTGAGGACAGCGCTCCCTTGAGGAGAGCTGTGCCCTCACTCTAAGGAAGAGGTGAATCCTGAATAAACCTGAAGCACTGGGCTTTTTTTTCCTTTTTAGTCTAAGACATTTTTCTTGTGCACTTTGAGGAGATGCAGGTAAATAAGGAGGCACACACACCAACTAAGATAAGTTAGAAAGACATAATGAGGACTGACATGTTATATATGGACTTTTAAAGTTACAACGAATTTTAACTATTTCTTAAGGTTTTTGTTAACAATCAGATACAACTTTTGTGAGGAGCATTATTTATTTTAAAAAAATTAATTCAATAAATCACATAGTTTTTATCCAGAGAAGCTCACCTCTCCCTCTTCCAACTAAATCCAGGATTATAGCTCAGCAAGCAGAGCTCTCAAGCCTGTTTCAAAAACCCCCACCCTCCCGCCTTGAGACACAGGCCAAACTCAAGATGGCTGAGAAAACAATCTGCAATTAGTGTGATGGGCTCAGAGAACTGCTGATAGTTTTGAGGAGTCATATGTCAACCCAGTGCTGACAATGCTGGACCAGCAGAGGTACATTACCAGTAAGGCAACCCTGGGCCAAGAAGAAAGAGAAACCACAACCCACTGAGAAAACATTTAGTGCCAAACGAGCTCAGCAACTTGGCAGGGTAAAGGAAAAGGCCTCCATCCACAGAACACTCTAACATACTCAAAAGGGGTCCAGGCTCAGGAACAAGTCTAGTTGGGATGAAATGAGTCTCTCATCCGAGCAGATAAAGGCTGCCTAAGGGCGGGAGAAATCCTTCCCTAACCTACAGTCACACTATAAAGCCTCTTGAAAGACAGAATGAGCGAAGGTAGTGATAATGCGCAGAGAGCAGGTCACTTACCTGTTTGGGACTGTGGAATAGAATTGGAGAATTTCTTGAACTTGGCAATGAAGAAACCATCCATATTGTGGGTGTGAGGGTAGAAACGGCGGGTGGAACGCAGAGTGGGGTGGAAGCGCCTCTCTCGAAAGCGGGTAAAACCCTCCTGGCCAAAATCTAGACCTGTGGGCACCAGCCGCACATTTCTCTTTTTCAGAGCGTAGTCTACCACCCACTCATTCTCTTCCACCTGGATATGTGGGGGAGATGAAGGTGGAAGGAAAAGAGCTAGAGCTGAAAGAAGCCCTAAGGAGCAGTCTCCCAGCCCTGCCCTCCTGCTCTGCCACGGCAGAGGCCTCACCATGATGGAACAGGTGCAGTAGATAAGGTAGCCTCCTGTCTTGGAGGCGGCATTGACAGAATCAATAGCACTCAGGAGCAACTCCTTCTGAAGGTGAGCACAACGCAGGATGTCTTTCTCATCCTGTCCCAGGAAGGAGACCCAAGGGTGTCAGAATTTCAAAAGGCAGCCTCAGGAAGAGAGGTGAGCTACTGACTGCTCAGAGTGCCCCTCCACCTCCCATTCCAGCTCTGCAAGCCACAGACAAGACCTCTCAACTGCCCCTACCCCAACTCCTAACCTTGTTAGTCTTCACAGCTGGGTCCTTGGAGATGATCCCAGTGCCACTGCAGGGAGCATCCAGCAGTACTCGGTCAAAGCCCCCCACCACCTAGGGAAAAAGGGTAGGTTAATCAGATGTTTTTGGTCATCTGTATAGTACCATTTATTTCCTATGGGCAAGTCTCAACAGTCTGATGTCAGCAAGGGAGCAGGTGAACTGGATGACACCTCAAGAGATGCACAGAGGGGAGTCTTACCTTGGGGAACTGGCGCCCATCGTAGTGGCTAATAATAGTGTTGGTGACTCCCAACCGGTGCAGGTTGCCCACGACACTCTTGAGTCGCTCAGCATTGGCATCATTGGCAAGGATCACACCTGTGTTCTTCATGAGCTGGGCTGAGGGGAGGGAGGGCACAGTGCTCAGTAGTCAGCCCCTCTGCCCCGACACTTGCAAGCCAACCTCTGACCCGGGAATCCACAGGTGAAGTCTCAGCATCTCAAGGCAAACTTCACTCTCAAAAAGCCCCATCCCCCACTGCCTACTGCATTAGTCTCCCCAGTCTGCACTGGCTCCAAATGATGAGCAAGCCCACCAATGTGGCTTTTCCATTTTTACTGAACATCTCTCTGATCCTACAGACTAAATTACTTCTTTTAAGGGATAATAGCATAATAAAATCGTATGACAAATAACATGTGCTGAATGAACAACATGCCAAGAACCTCTATAAGCATATTTCAACCCTCAGAGCCCAAGCATAACATAATGACCAAGCCAAGCACAATTACTACCCCATTTTACAGGTGACAAGAGAATCGGGCTTACCCAAGGTCCTATGTAAGTGGCACCCATGGGGTTGGAACATGGGCTGATTCCAGAGCCTATACTTCTCACCACTCTGCTAGCTGCCTGTGTACTATTTCCTAGCAAGTCACTGACGCCATCTACTTTCAAAAGCAGAGAGCCAGATGAATCCTACACCTGCCTGCCCTTCTCGTACCTATGTAGCTGGTCTTTCCTCCAGGGGCACAACACATGTCTAGGATCCGCTCATGTTCCTGGGGTGCCAAGGCCATGACAGGTAACATGCTGGAGGCTCCCTGCAGCATATAGTGCCCAGCCAGGTACTCAGGAGTAGCACCTGTGGAAGAAGTAACATGCTGGGACATGCTATGACATGCTAGAACAAGGGTAGGGGCAGAGGGCTACTGGGCAGGGAATGCTTACCAATGGGCACTGAGGAATCATATACCACTAGTCCAGTCTTTGACCACTTGCCCAGGGGATCCAGATTAACTCCACGATTGATCAGCGCCTGAGGATAAGAATGAAGACTTTTAAAATGTCATAGGCAACTATAAACAGAAAACAGATGGAGCTATGAAAACCTGGTCCTGTCAGGAAGTCTGTGGCACAACTCCTAGCTCTCAGGCAGACACAATCATCAAGAGACTCACTTGACTCAATTTCTACTCTCCTGTCCCATTTCGTGCCCTGGTGTCATTTTCATTAGGCTCAGGCTCTAACTCAAGGACTGAATGCCATATCAAAGGAGCAGATTGCCAGCTTTAGTTGTTATTTCCTAAAGGTGGACTCTGATTTTCCAAGAGGCTCAGCCCCCTTACCACCCTAATATTTAATGCAATTGGTTAGAGAACATTAAAGATAATTATCAGGTTATCTTCGTACAAGGAGATACACAACACACAGGGCCACAACACTTACTTTAGAATGGGGCCTCTAGCCTGCGGTGCCTGAACCCTTGGAAACGATGAGCTTAACATACTGTTTGTGCATGTGTGCTATGTCTTTTTCTGGGGACAGGAATTAGTTTCACCAGCTTCTCAATGATCTAAAAGGCAGATAACTCCCTCTCACTTATGAGGCAGCACTTTTATCCTGATTTATATGTCTCAACTCTGTCACAGGGAGCAGAGGCTAAAGTGATGAGTGCCCCGCTTCACAGAGGTCCTGGGCTCAGGGCCGTTCAGACAGACCCACATGACACTAGGCCTGTCTAGGTCTGCCTCCTGAGAGATTGTGCCAGTACCAACAAATACTTAGGTATTAAGACCCAGCCCAGTCAGGGTGGGACGGCACCTCTCAGAGATAAGGAAACCTCAGAACCCACAACTCACCTGAGCAAGGTCTCGGCGCCGGGTTTTCAAGGTATTGGTTCTAAGGGTGATGGGCCGAGGCACCTCATTAGCTTCCAAGAACTCCACCAG